AATATTGTGTTTCTGTGCGCCTGTGTTGAGTGTAGAAAAAGCTGCTGTTTGATTTTGAAAAGCTTGTGAGACGATGCTGCCGCCGCCGCCGCTGTGGGTAGGTGACACCTCGCGTCTTCCAGATCGGGTCTCCGTGGAAACAGCAGAGTGAAGTTGGGAACGTGTCGCTATGAGTGGGGAAATGCAAAAGAAAGTGTTAACATTTCCGTTGTGAAGGGGAGAGATTATAGCGGGCAGGGGGGGGGAAACAAAGGCAGGGATTATCTCAGCACATGCTACAATAGCACTACACACAGCCTCTGCAAATGGGCCTGCCACAGGGTGCTTTGGATCACAGAACAAAGACAGGGTTCTCCCACCCATCCATGCAGATCCTCTGTCAGAGTTAGCTAATAAGGACTACAATACCCAGCTGCCAGTAGCAAACCAGCCAGGGACCTCGAATTAAGGGTCATTATTTCTCCTCATTATGGACTTTTGCATTGTTTGACCACTCTGAAGAGGAAAGTCTATTCCTATTATCGCTGTCCTTCTTCCAGTACTTTGAAATTGGATGTTTTTGTCATTTCAGTCACTCCACTGAGAGGAATGTGTAATAATGCAAGCAATAAAAATATGTCATAAATTTTCAAGCTTCTTCCCATTTCACCCTGCGTTACCGACGAGTTCTGCACTCTGTGAAGTCAATTTAACTGTTTTGAAGTTGGTTTGTGACTGTGTTGTTGGAATTAATACGGCGTTAGAAGAGGGAGTAAGTTTGAGGGCAGTAAACTGAGACAGATGGAGAGAAATGGAGTACAGCATACGATTGCTGGATAAAACAGCCGAGCGAAGAGGAGAGATAAAAGGATGGCGCGAGAATGAAAGGTGGTGGTGGTGGTGGTGGTGGTGGTGGTGGGGAAATGGCAGCGAGGGTGTGAGGCGGAGTGAAAGTGAGTTTGTCTGTGATGTTTTAAAATTCTGGAGTGGAAAGTCCCTCCATCTGTTATTGTGGGACGGTTCTGACTCAGTGATTTCTATGATTGGCCTTAATCCCGGCCGAGTGGAGAAGACAGAATGAAGAGCTTAAAGCAGACTGCTCTCACTCTGACAGGCTCCACTGGCTGCTGCTGCTGCTGCCGCTGCCGCCGCCACCGCTGCCGCTGCTGATGGGGCTCACTGGCACACTCAGTCTGCTGCCGCCTAATGGATTAACTGCTGCATGACACTGCACCTCTCCACACTACTACAGCACATTGAGCAGCTTTTAAGGCCATGACACGGCGGTGACATTTTGATGTAACATGAATTTGTCAGCAGCCATGACACACAGCAGTTTTCACTCAAATTTTAAAGCTCCTTGTGTTCTCTGTGATAATTGTGTCCTCATATGTCACCATGCACCATGGAAGCAGCACCACCCGCAGAGGGATCATGTCCTTTACACTGTCTCTCAGTAAACAAGAGATTGCTGATGTGTCTTCGCGATCCTGTACGTGTCAGTAGATACAGTAAAGATATGATTTGTATTGATGCTGCATCTGGATATTTAATTCAACAATGTGGGAAGGGCCCTTAAGAAAGCTGTTCTATATTTAGACATTTTTTTACAAAGAGCTTAGTGGCTTGCCATTATGATTGTCACTGTTCACAGCGGCCAATCATTGGAAAATTTACTAAGGGTCTTCCCTTGGTGTATTAGTCGCTCTGAGAAGGTTAAGTGACCTCAGCAGAGTCATTTCACAGTCTTTTGGTCCCCAAGGTGACTTAAACGTTCCCAGGAACCGAGCTGAGGGGCTCATTTGGAACATGTTAAGTACCTCGATTCAAGGCTGCAATCACACGTACAGACCCGTGTCGTGTTTTCTCAAGTGCCCTCTCGCTCAAACACACACTTTTTAGGGCTGTTTTAGAGTGTCCCTCCAGATCGCACGGACGCCAGTGTGGTACGTCGAGTGCCCTTTAAGTTAATGCTCAGTGGAAGGGCCTAACAGGCTGCAGCAACCACACAAGCGGCCCGGTGTCGAGTTGGCGCTCACCACAGCATGACGCTGTCCGTCCCTGGTGTGCTGTCATTCCCCTAGAAATAACATGACTTTGAGTGATTAAACTGCTCCCCTTTGGAACAGAGCAAACTGCACAGTTATGAATATTAAAGATCCTAATCGCCTCATGCTGAGCCTTTCGTTATTTTTTTATTTTCCGCTGTCTTCTTGCTCTGTTAGTTCACAGTGTGGGCCCATGATCTTTTACAGCGGCAGGGTTCTTCGACAGTGGAGACATCATCAGGCTGCACCGCCTGCTCTTTGGCTGCTTGTACAATTATACTGTCACCTGCACCACTATGTACAGTGTTTGCATACATGACAGACTCCATTGTGCGTTGTTTAAGGCTGCAGACCTTGTAGAGGCACTTCAAATGCCACTATCCATTACAGAGTTGTGTTTATGGTTCTTGACCTTGCCTGAAGACTCAGTGACAAATGGCCCAACATGTGATGTATTTTGTGTCAAGGTTACAAAGGCAATAACATTAGATGCCCGTGCTCATGTTGTCGACTCTCCTGGTGTCTTTGTGCCTGTATGCTGTAGTGTTATTTGCTGTGTTGTGTGGGCCTGTAGTGAGCTTATCTGTGCTGTACTGTGCTGATCTCACTATGCTCATCCAGTACTCTAAGCTGCTTGGGCTCCAGCCACCAGCATAGATGATATATCCCTGCCCCCCTCCTTCCCACATCTCTCACTCTGATTCATTGGCTGTTTGTGTTGCCCATCCATCTGGGCCAACACAGAGGAAGGGAAGACACATGAAGACACATGGTTGTTTTGGAGCACGGGGACTGCATTAAGCTGCTAGGGAAGAGATAGGGTCCCAGAAAAATGGTGGCCTACCGGGGGCAGAGGGTGGAAGAGTATGAAGGGAGAGGCAGCTGGAGAAACAGAACTGGAAAAAAAAAACAAAAACACCTGGGCTACTCAAGGGAGAGAGAAATGGATTTTCTAAATGGACAAAGTAGAGATTCTTACTGACAGATTTAATCCTGAGAAAAAGACTGAGCCAAAAGGATGAAAGGGTAGCTAGATCACAGATCATGACAGAGAGTTGGGGGGGGGGGGGGCCTTTTTGGGGGGGACTCTATGCAACAGATTTTCTATGTCCTCAAAAATATCATTCATATTAATAGAAAAAACAAAAACATTTGTTGTGAACGAGAGTAACATCATATGGTTTTAATTTTCAGGCTAATCTCAGATGAGGCAATGCAGTGAGATTATTGTTGAGCTGCTCTGTGTTTATCCCTAATTGAAAAATGTGGAGTTCATAGTTTCACCAAGAGATTACCACTGTGGCGTTGCCCTTTAGCAGGGCTGACCCTCTCTAACGAAAAGCCACACAATTACTGTCTTTTCTAATGGACTCTTTGGTAATAATTTCAGTGGGCTAATTAGATCTGCATTTCATTGTTTTATTTGCCTTTTGTCTCATTAGGAAATGAATGAAATCTTATCATTGTTATTTAAGGCCTTTTCAGGTGATTAAAAGCACAATGCAAACGCATAAAGACACAGAGGACTCAAACTGATCCACATTTTCTGCTATTATGTGCCACAAATTACGCTAGTGAAATCACATTATGTACATACTTTAAACCATTATGCTCAACAAATGTCCCTATACGATATGCGTAAGAGTCTGGACTGATATTCTCTGCCTGGTGTGTGTTTGTGTTGAGAGTAGGTGGAGCAGCATTGTGACTGTGTGGCTGTGAGTGGGAGGATCCGCTGAGATGAGGTGGGCGGGGCTTCTAATAGAAATAGGACAGCTTTCACTATAATGAAAGTTTATGTCTTGTGTGTTTTTGGTAGATAAAAAGCCCCCTGTGGTCGGGGAGTGGGGGCCCTTCAGTTTGGCTCCACAAATGAATGAGGTTTTACTGTAGCAGGGGTCTAAGTAGGGCTAGTCATTTTAGAGCCTTGGGACTGTATGGCCAATCACACTATTTTGGGACAGTAACAAGATCGCCCCCTAGAGGCCTGGGGAAACCTAGATACTGAGGCATAGGAGGGAGGGAAGGGGGGGGGGGCACTGTGAGGAAAGAGAGACACTCCAAGGCTTCACCATATTTGCCAGTTGGATGATTTCCTATATGAGAAGCCTACATACAGTAAGCTTCTTCAGAGATAAGCCTATAAGCTACATCATGGTAAATGACACTAGACTATTAAAGCACATTCTTATGACAACATCAGTGGGTAGTGGTGTTTGATACTAGTTTGAGATGTTAGTTAGATGTTAGTTACTGCTTCATTTTCATAAAGCAGTAACTATCACTCTTCAATCGTTGTGAATGTGACAGTAACAACTTGAGAGCAGCTTAAACAATGAATTTTAACAGCAGCAAACATTACATTATTAGCGCTAATATTTACTTCTTATCAACAAGGATGGACAAACATCTTGTTTGCAAAACAAACGTCCACTAGGGAAAAGTGCACACCGTTTAAAAACTAAACCTGCATGTCTAGATCAGTCGGTGTGGATCTGCCTCAGCACCAGAGATAGTAATGATCCCTGCCTAGCACAGGTTTGTTTACATTATGTGTCATACCACTTCTAACTCAGCTGTCATTCAAACAAATACACACTTTGACAACAACAACACCCTCGGTACATGTTTTTGTTTTTTTGTTTTTTTTTTTGCTCATGATGCCCATGTGGGATTTTCTTTAATTGATCAATAAATTTGTAGTTAGATCAATTTTGAGAAACAATTTATAGCTTCTAACAGCATTAAGAACTTCGTAGGTTCACCAATAGGATGTGCACAAATAGTTTTTTGAAGGACCATGTTGGGTATGGCGCTCCCTAATCCTCTGAATGAACCTGTTAATTTCTAGCTGTGCTGGCTTTTGTAGAGAACGAGGTCACAGTCCTCATCTGCCTGTCCGTCTCTGTTTCACAAACAAATGTTCTACTGACTCCTTCACACTAACACTTCTGCTTTTGTGTTTCCTTGTAGAAACTGGCCAGGGAGGCGGAGCAGCTTCAGAAGGAGCATGTATGGCAAGACGGTGTGACGGTAAAGTAGGACACCCGCTCTTCTCCCTCTTTCTCCAAGACCTCTTCTATCGTTTTTTTTTTTTCTCTTTCCTTTTTCAAGCAAAGTGGTTAATCTTCCCTTCATCTGCCCCTTCGCATCTGTTTTCCAATTCCCCCTCAGTTTAGTTGTTTTACATGTAATCCTTTAATGACAATGTGATCAGCATCACAGAGACAATTTGGAAAAACAATAATATACACAAGCGCACAACGCACGTACACATGCACACTATAATTGCTTACTTTTGGGGATTGTCATTTCCATGGGCTTCAGTATTATCTAAGAGCTTTCTGTCCGTTTTGTTTCACAGTACACAGCAAGTTGGACATTGCATTCTCTTGTAGCTGACCTTTAAAACACTAGAAATCTGCTCTTGAAATCTAAAAAAAGGAGACATGGTATTACTCTGGTTTATGTTTGTCTGTGTGTGTTTGTGAGCCACCGTGCTCCACTGACTCTCAAATTTGCAAACACTGGAATGCCCCACGAACATGCATGCATACTGATGTGCGCGCGCACACACACACACACACACACACACACACAGACACACACAGACACACACAGACACACATATACATAGCCTCACCCGACAGATACACATGCACATTCCCTACTGTCATATTCTCTGTCTCCAGGGAGACGAGCTCGCTGTCATGGTACACTTCCCACAAATGGATTTTTAACCCCGCGCCTCCTGGGGGATATTTGAGAAAAGGCTTTAACTGATTTAAAACGAATAATTATGAGCCCTACTTCCCTGCAAAGTCCATTTTTATTCATGGTTGCTTACACTCTGAAGCTGTAGTCTTGGGGTGGCTAGGCTGCACCGACCCCTCCCTCCCTCCCTGCTGGTCTGGGGGAGGGAGCTGCAGTGCGGCTGTCCCTTCATCTTTGGCATGGGGGGGGGGCGGCTTGCCAGCCCCTCCCTGCCCGACTCCGATGCACCTCAATCGGATGTGTAGCCATGCAGGACATGGAGCCTGGGTCACAGTGACCACACACAGCACACCTGTTCATAAGTAGCTGCATCCAACATGGCATCAATACTTCCTCAAGTGGAAAAGCCGGCACTCTTTTTAATCCAGCCATACTCATCCCACCCCTCTCTCCCTCTGTTTCTACTCCTCCTTTCTGTCACTCCCGTTTCTACATCTCCCTCTGTCCAGAACCCCAGCCTCATTCCGAACCTTATCCTCACAACCCCCATCACATTCATATACCTCTTTTCTTATCTGTATGTGTCTTTAATCAGGCATGAAAACAGTCGGAATATATCATACTGTTGCAAATACTGCAAATGAATCCTAATGTTGCTCCTTTATTAATAATGCATTGGAGCTGATTTCATTTGCCTTTATTATTAGGCCAGGTAATGAATCTCAGCAGGGGCGACTGTGAAACCATTAAAAAAACTCACAAAGTGGTGGAAGAAAGGGGTGGGGGTGGGGGGAATATATGCCACATTCTTGCAAGAAGATTTTTCCTGTTTGTAGATTTTGTGCTTTCCTAATTTCTCTTTGGGTGAACACTCTGCTGACTGACACTCTAATTAGATTAGGGCTGCATGCTCTTTGGGCATATTAGGAGAAATGCGTCGCATCTTAAAGAGCAGTCTGTCAAATGAAGAGAAAAGGTGTTTATGCATGAGAGGCGGTGCATTTTGATAGAATTTTTGAGTGTGCGTGCGTGTGTGCGTGCGTGCGTGTGCGTGCGTGTGTGCATACTCCGGTGTATGTTGGAAAAGCATAATGTGCTTGTTTGTGTTTGTCGGCAAGCGGGTATTTATTTGTATGTGTTTATTAACTGCAGGTTCTGTACCTGGCCCAGCCCATCTGCTTGCCTCGCCAAACTGGTGACATCATAGAAACTCAATGACACGCCTGTTCCTCATAGCGGCTGCCGTCGCAGCTGTTACCGTAGCAATGGGAAGACCTCACTCTTTTTCTCTCTCCCTCTCTTCCTCACGCACACATTCAAGTCTTTCCCTGGTCCAACTACAGAGCCAGGTTTCTGACCATCCCGACTGCTGGACATTATGGATGTCAAAATGTTGATGGTAACAACTGTTGTGATGGTCGTTCAGGGTTTTAAATCCATTGGAATGTAATGGTGTGTGAAATAGACATTAAAGTGTTGGATTGCCGGTGATTTCTCAAGGTCAGGTGCCCATCCCTCTGTGACACTCGACTATTGTGTTGGCAAGAAAGTCATCCCAAGGCAACGCAGTCATTTCAGTGCTGCTTTGCAATTCTCATAGGGACGAGGGAGAACCAGCAACTTCAAAACCAAATATCAAAACTCTTTTTTTTTGTTTGTTTTGTAAACAGAAAATTGGGAGCCAGAGAGCAGAGCACTATTGAACCTCTCTGGATTATATCAGCAGATAGCTCAATTTTCAGTTTACTATTTCAGAAAGAGTTCATGAAAAAAATCCTGGGTCCTACAGTTTTGACCCACTCGCTGGATGTGTATACATGTATATATGTAGTGTTTAGAAGGTGATTTAAATGTTGCTTTTCCATAGAGAAAGTCAAAGAGTATTTCTCTTCAAAACATTGTTGAATTGCTTTACTGCTTTTAATAGTTTTCCTCCCAGAACGTCACCACATTTGAGTGTTAAAGACTTTTTAAGCTACATTTATAGTAGTGAAGTCCAGCTTGGTTAAACAGTTAAATTTAAATTGTTCATTTTCTTTTCTTTACATTTAACATAGACATTTCATACAAAAATGCAACAACTTAGCCACATAAAAAAACACAAAAGAATTACTGAATGCAAAATAGACTCTAAGGCTGCAGCTTAAGAAAATTTTAGTTGATTAATATTCAAAGGATTTATTTGAGGAAATTGATTAGTTGATTGAAGCTGAAAAGTCACTTACTGCATTAATGTCCCTTTAAAGATTTAATGCACTCATGCAAACTGATCTTTTAAAATGTAGTTCTTGTGAAAGAGCAGACCATAGTAATTAAGTAATAACTGTTAACTAACAAAGGACCATTAATTGACAAAAAATAAAAAGACTAAACAAAAACATTTCACTAAACCAAGGCCTAAGGGACTGATCACTTATCAACTAAGAGAGCTGGCAGCACTACTAAAATCATGGTTCAGCTTCTGAGTCTAGACACAGTACAGGTGGTCTGGTTAAGAATAAAATACTGGCCTTGAAAAAAAAAAGTTGCTTCTTTATACACTGAACAAAACCTAAACTTTGACTACACAGTTAGATAAACTCTGAAATCAAAGACAGTCTCTGACAACTAAATTCTCAGGTAAGATGACGTCCGGCCAGGTGCAGCTGCTGTTTATGTTTGTGGACATCACTTTAGTTTCATTGCATCAGTCGTGTTAAGGTGCTAGGTTTTTCATAAAATAGTTTTGTGGTGGAGTGTTTCGGAGAAAACTACACCACATTAGTCTCATGTGCCCTACGCCACCAGTGATTTCCCCTGTAATTATGTATAACATGCTATTCTAATATGTATTTTGACAATTTAGCAGTTTGAGTTGCTAAAATGTAGTTTGATATCTGAAATAAATGTATTCAGTATTCATGTATGGATTGTGGATATCTCTTAAGTTAAATCCAGTTACGCTTTTATATGATAAAATAGCTTGGTGTCATCTCCAATTTCATTATAGATACATTATCTTAAAATGAATTCTGACCAGGAGAGATACATTTGAAGTTATCTTGAATGATTGCTATGACTGATCACAATGTAATTAGGAGTCCTTAATGCATTTGTAGATATCTTATGGTTTCCTGGTGTTGGGTGGGTTGTCATGTTGGCAGAACTTTTTTTAAAGTTTTTTTTTACAATTTTCTGTCATAAACTAGAAAAAAAGAAAAACTTTCATGTCTCTGACTGCAGTTTGAACGTTTGATAAATGGTAAGCTTGGCCTAGTTTAGCTGAGATCATGCAAGTGTGTGGGTTCAGAGCATATGACTAATGCTGAAGGTTTAATATTTTGTAATAGTTAGCCTGCGGTTAACAAATCTTTTGTTAACAGTACAACCAAACTCCTAACAATTACAGTACAAAGTCACCAGAACTACTCTTGTCGTGGCACATATACATTATTCAACAAACCCATTATATTTTTTTGATATGAAGTAAATATTTACTTTATCAGTGAAATTAGGTGACTTCAGCAATATGTGAGTTAACAGTGTTGTTTAGTTTGAACCAGCATCCATCTTTGGAAAACTTTAAAGCACCTATAATTAAGATTTTTGCAGTAAGAATATTAAAAAAAATGAAAGAGTTGTATTTCCCCTCAACTCTATATTGCTTTATAGCTTCTTTCAGCCCAATGTTTTGGTTTCCCATTCTGCAGCTTCACTTTTTTTGTCGCATCATTTTACAACTTCAGCAGGCAGCTGTTTTCAGTGAAAAAAGCTCTGGAAACTAACTGGTGAACATAGGGAACCGTTTAACTGCTAAAGAGTCAGTTATTTCCCTCAGGAGTTATTGAAAACAGAAGTAAAAGGAGAGCGGCCATTGGACTTAATTCGCCAGGTGGCCAGAAACATCACTACAAATACTAATATTGCTTAGTGTCTCCTGGATGTGGAACTGGGCAACTGTTAAACTGCTAAAAAAAAGTTCACTATATCAATTGGCTGCTTACAAGTGGCCAAAAGCAAAAGTCATTATGGATTTAAAGATTTATTTTCCTGTATTGATCCTTTAAACATCCAGTGGTTAAGCTATGTTTGTATAATCCCACCCTCTGAACTGCAAAGAGAATCATGAAAATACCATCAACAAGTTTTGTTAGTGGCAGAAAGTTGGCAAATTTGTAAATAAATAAATAAATAAATACCCCAAAACCAATCTAACTGTTAACTTTCCAAAATGGAAAATTGTATATCTGGTCAATAATATATTATCAGCATCATTATTATCAATCAGTTGTTCAAAAACTAATCTCCCATCATTGGCGACTGGCGATGATGACCACTGT